GTTTTGCTTGTATTGATAAGCAAATCTAAAGCATTTGATCAGACGGCCAAATTTCCCCAAATTGCCAGATTCCATGGTTTGCAGGATTTGTTTCCCAGCTATCCTAACAGTAGGAAGTACCCAGTGCTAACAGAATGACAACATGAAGAATTCTAAGATGGTTCAATAGAAATATAATCCTTTTATTTGATTATGGCACCTTATTATATTGCTAAGATGCATCAAAGCGCTTCACAGGAGTTTTACTGTGAAGTGTAGTGCCTGTGTATTTGTAGGCAAACACAGCAGCCAATATCCCACAAACAGCCATGGCTGATTTTATCTGTACGATGGTCATCAGAAGTAGTAGAAGTCTGCACCAGTTTGTAGAATGATTAACAACATACAAGTTTCTATCACATTCTACTACTACCGTAAGTTTTGATGAATCTGTCTAGATTCCGTCCTTCGCTTGAAAGTGTACAGATTTGTTACTTTCTTCAGACTTTTATGAAGAAAATGAGCTTGCATTCTGCGTGAAGAGGATTTCAGCCAAGGCATCAAATAATAATAATAATAATAAATGTGAAGCAAGCTCAACCATCAAGTCATGTAATGCTTCTTCTTTGAGTTTATTTTGTGTGAGTGCCAAACACAAGTGGAAGACTTGGTTGGATGGGATTGCTGGCTTCTTGCCATTGATTATGGAAGCGATCCCCTGTGCAACCGTTCTGAGCTCGATCAACTTCTCAAGGTTTTGATGACTTTGCAATTGATGGAGAGCTTGAAGTCAAGAGTTGGTATAAATCCGCAATGCATTTATACTTTCAGGTTAGATCTCTTGAGGTTCACTAAACAGGATTCTATATCCCAAAGGCCAAATATGAACATATAGATAGAGAAAACAATTATTTCTCAGAGGAGTGCAAATGCAATCAGCATTTGTAACTGGAATCACTATTATTGAAGGCAGACAGTCTAAACATGCTGTGAATGCGGTGTCACAACAGAAAGCCATGATAGATGGATAAAATTACTTGAAGAAGATGCTATTAGATACAGTAGAGTCCTGTTACAACACAGTAAATGGGGTCAATAAAATACCAACCAGGGTATGATCAGCATTTAGCTCTTCCTCATTCACTATGTGCACACAGAAAGCTGGCTCACTTCAAAATAGGAGCCAGCTTTGCATTTGCTGGGTGAGTCACTGATCTATAATTGGTGCATAGGCCACTGAGCCAGATATGAAGTATCTGTCAACCAGCAACACGCACCAATAAATCATCTGCGTTTGCAAAATAAGATCTGCCAAAGGATAGTAACACAAATACATTTCTAAAAGTTGGAGTTGAAACAAAGGTTAAAAGCTAAAAAAAATTAAAGCAATGAAGGAATTACTGCAACACTCCCACTGTAAATGCAGTTAATTTTTAACTGCTAATATTCCAGGTTATGCCACATCATGGTGTAAATATTGCATTATTCCAAAGTGCATTCCTTTCCTTAATCACTGTGGAGAATACTGGAAAGTACACTTAAAGGTTTGAGACTTAATGCCACGCTCCTAACTTTGGGAATATGGTTATTCCCTCCAGCCTTTCAGAATTGAAATGCTGCCACTGTTGAGTTTAATATAATGGGGAACATTTTCCTTTATTCCCAGTTGCAACAATAACTCTGTTACTTTTTAAATGATTTAAACCACTCTCTGGCAAAGAAGCACAAAATCCAAAGTCCAATTAAAGACTCTCCCTCATCACCCTAAAATATTTAGAAGTTTTTAACTAAAAGCCTATTAGTAAGAAACAAACAAAAAAATTCCCTCGGTATTCACAATTCAATAAAAATTTACATAGCGTCTTGCACATCAGGAAGCCCCCCAACACACTGGGCAGTTCTGACTTGGCACCCGGGATAGGGTGAATGCTGAGGTGGGTGGGGAGGGGAAAGATGAATGAAGGTTTGGTCAAAGAAGTATTCAAAGCACGGATAAGCACCAGTCCATTCTGAAAGTCCTGGAAGGAGAAACTATTCTCCCCATGTCATGTACTTTCCATTACTCATCACGTCAAAATGTTTTTAGAAAATCCACAATTTTGACCCTGACCCTCAATTCTGACTTGTTCTAATTTCACAACATAGTGGTCATTAGTCAACCGTTGCAGTATCAGGCCTCCAAAAACATCCTCCTTTACTTGTCTGTGCCATAAAAATCGAGGCAACAACAACAAGATTTCATTTATAGAGCGCCTTTCACGTCGGGAGGACGTCCCAAGGCGCTGGACAGTTGGGTCGGGACCCGAGCAGTGGGGAAATGGTCAGGGTGAGGGGAGGGAGCGAGGAGGGGGTAGAGAGTTGAGAGGGGAGCTGAAGGCTCGGTCGAAGAGAAAGGTCTTGAAACCGGCCTTGAAGGAGGAAGGGAGGAAGCAAGGTGAAGGCACTGGGGGATGGAGTTCCAGAGCCTCGGGGCTGAGAGGCTGAAGGCCCGGCCACCGATGGTAGGGCAGTTAGGGCGGGGGATGTGGAGCAGACCGGAGCCAGAGGAACGGAGGGTACGGGCAGGTAAGTAGGGGGATAGTAGGTCAGAGAGGCAGACAGGACCAGAGATCTGGGATCACAAGGAGTGCACCAAATTGATCATGAAAAAAAAAAAGATGATGTAAAGAAGTGTTTGAAACCTGCTAGAAATCATCTTTTTTTAGATACAGTACATGGTCCTAAGTCTTCTTTCACCTAGCAAATTCTTATGTTCTTATGCAGTCACACACTGAATTTGTGAGCCACTTTATTCAGACATTAAGGTGGGAGCATTATTTAACAACATTTGATTCTCATTCATTTCATATAAAATCATCAGAAAATAAAAAGTGACTACGTATGTAGCAGCAGCCTTGTCCTATAAACCGTGTTTTAATTAATTTCAAGGCAAAATGTTTCACAGCACAGTGTGTATTGCCTTAATCCTTTCCTTTCATCCACCTCCTTCTTACCATTTGAAGGGTTTGATGTCCGCAATTGAGAACCAGGCTTTAATTTGTCCTTTTACCCAAAAGGTTGGTCTTCCTGTGCCACCAATAACAGAAAGAATTGAGTCACGTAGTAAATTCGACCTCACTGTCACTTTGTTAAAGTTATTAGGCATCAATCAAGAAGCAAAAGAAACATCACACGCAAAAGCTGTACATTGATATACATGCAATTAACATACTGCAGAGAACTGGTACTTACCCCAAACATTAATTCACAAACATAGCAGTGGGCACAGGCCTCATCATCGGGAAAATAATCAACAGGAAAATGTATCATTCTTTTCCCAGATTGTATGATAAAACACAACCCAAGTATGTTGATTGAACTGAGATTTCCAAATAGATCCTTGCCATTCAGCAAAGGTGTGACTATTTGTAACACATCACAACATGGATGACAACACAGATTTCAATTAAAAAAGACAACATTCCATTGAAATAAAATGCATTACAACATAAGAAAATAGGTATTTAGGCATTTACAATAAGAACAAGAACATATATTTGTTTGAGGAATGTATCATGTAATGTGTTATTTTTCAGGTCTCTATTTGGTGGGAGCCATTGACACACTGAACATCAAACACAACTTTTATATGCAAATCTTTTAAATGCACCACAACCGGTCACTATTTGATTTGTTTCAATAACTATTTTAAAACTCACTTCCTTGGGTACAATAATACTTCACTCATCGGTCCACATATAATTCCTTTCTTATTCAAATGGGATTATATTTACTATGTAGTTTTATGTCAAATTTGATCTGTTTTACCCTTAAAGATTTATGTCCTGAAACGTGCCAATTACTTCACTTGGAGGCAAGTGGTCTCAGCAAGCCAAGTGATGTGCATTGTCCAGGGTCACTGAGAGTGACAAGTGACTGGCTCGCCTGAGTGACAAATGATTAACTGACTGCAGTGATAAGTGATTCTGGGATCAAATGTTTTGAATTTTCAGTGTTTTCATGGCTGAACTAGCAGCTTCTTCTTTCAGTACTTTGAATATGGATTTAATTTAAAACGCTGGAAACTGTAGGAAAAGTGCTGGAAACTGAGCTTACGTTGGGGAGCAGGAGCAAATGAGAAAAACAAGGCAACATTGGCACAGACACAGTGAGCCAAATGGTCTCAATGTGTGAAGAACATTTCTATGTTTAGAACTTTATACGGGTTAGAGCATGAGGCAAATCCAACTAGCAGTTCACATTACTATCTGCAGCAGGATTGAATGATGCCTGAAGGATTTGCATAAAATGTCAGATTTCCTGAGATTGTTATAGTTTGTTATCCAGTGTAACCCGCTGTTAATCGTTATGTAAACTTACTCCTCAGAAGTGGCAGGAAGTGAAATATCACAATGGCTTTGGGAAGCAAACCCAAAGGCTTGTTACATCATGGCAGGTGGAACTTGTTACTTTGATACAGGAACATTTTTGCTAAAATTGTACTGAAGAAATAGAGTAGTCACTATATATTGTGTCCAGGATAATCTACACTCAGAAAATATATGACATTACTGTGTTTTTTTTAATTTTTGCATGAACAAGCAGAAGATCAGTGGGGCTGCTAGCATTTCAGTGATCCATCCTCATACTTTGCTGATTTTCTGAGGATATTTACTCTCCTTCTAGTGCACATCCATCCACTCCTGAGCCATGCATCATTTTGATAGAGCGGGTAGAGTGGTCAGCCTGCTCCCAGGCCACGTCAATGTTGCTCTCTCAGGGAAGGGGAGTTCAGCAAAAGTGGGGGAAGGGAGAGGCATGGACTTTGAGCGACAAGAGTTTATGCTCCCAAGCTCTGTGCCATCCTATCACACAGCACAACTATTAAAACTAACCGTGTGCTATTATTCCCATCACAAGATGAAAAGGTCAAAACATTACCGATTGTTGTTCCTTTTGTTGTGCATCAAATCATAGCTCAGAACTTTGGTTTTGATTAATAAAGCTATTGCATTTAAATCCAATGCTACAACAAAAGTTACCTTGCTCTGGCAATGCATCACTGTCAGTCAGTTTATCCTTTTTCCGTTTTGGCTCTCCAGGTTTGTTCCTGATCCGTGATACTTTCACTGCACAGCAACAGAAAAAGATTTTAATGAGTGTTTGGCTTCCTTGCATTTCATACAGAACCTTTCACGTCAGGATGACTTCTCAAAATGCTTCACAGGATTCACTGTAAAGTGTAGAGACTTTGTATTTTGTTGGTCAACAAAGCAACCAATTTGTGCACACCAATGTTCCACAAACAGTCATAGATTAAATGAATGATCAATTTTATTTGGGGATTGTTGGCCAGGACACCAAGAGTTCCCTTTTTGAATAGTGCCATGGGATCTTTAACATCCATCTGAATAGGTAGACAGGAACAGGACCTTGGTATAACATCTCATCCAAAGGACAACACCTCCAAAAATGCAGCACTCCCTCAGCACTGCATTCAACTATCAGTCTGGACTGTGAGTTCAAACTCCTGACCTGGAGGCTTGAACCCATAACCTTGTAACTCAGAGGCAAGAGTGCTACTGACTGAGCTAGAGTGGCATCCAAAGCTTAGTGTCAAATTAAAGGCAGCGTGTCCTGGCAGACCACTTCAAGATACAATGCACATTTAAATAAAAATTACAGATCTCCTTACTTGCAGCTTCTTTTCATATTTAAATCAAAAAATTATTGTTGGCAGCCACTGTAAACATTTTTATCCATGTGCCACTTATAGCACATTTTGGCAAAATGTTACACATTATAGGTTAATATAAACATACCCACCAATAAGCATTTTATATTAGGGATTTACAACTCTTTTGGAATCTTGGAGACTTTCTAAGTATAAGTATTAAATCAGTTCTTCTTCCTAGGAATGATAATAATAATCCTTGCATTTGATATAGCACCTTTTCACATCTTAATTGGTGTTGAGTCCTATGTCATCAAGACATCTCAATGGGCTTCACAGGATTTTAGTGAAGTGTAGTGACTGTATTTGTAGACAAACATGTCCTACTAGCAGCCATGAAGTGAATTATCAATATAATCTGGGGGATTGCTGGCCAGGATTGAAGATAATATTTCAATATTTAGCAATTTACATGCCAGGGGTGGGGGGGGGGCAGGGGGAGGGAAGGATTTAAGAGGTTGTGCTTTGCGTGCTAGTAACTGAGGATTTCCCCATTTCCATTCCAAGCCCACATTGCCAAAGTGCACCAGTTACCAACAAGAAGCAATATCCTGTTAAGAGATCTGATTAAGTGGTTTCAATTTATATAGTCAATCAAACAGACAACCAACAAAGGTTTTATTGCCTTACACTTGTAATCTAAACCAAATTTATACTGGCAACGTGACAATAGATCAGTTGTGCGATGTACTGAATTTTGATCTCACATTCTCAGGATACATTCATTGAATTCTAGGCATCAAATTAGTTCTGGCTTCAATTAAAGCCACCTCCTTCTGCATTGGGTTCGGAAGGCTGTGCAATCTAAACAACTGGATCAGCTGCCAGATGCACTTTCTTTCAACATCTCTCTTACTCTATTCTGCCGGTCATTGATGATCTTAAAAAGAGTGCACATGCACACAACTGTGTGATGTACATACACTTACAGTGCTTGACCGAGTGTACAGCCATAGTTAGCAGCTGATGTTACATGTACACAAATGGAATAAGAATATCTGCAACAATATGAATGCCTCTCCCGCTTAGTGTAAATGGAAAGCTCTGCTCAAGTGATCGGAGTGCACTGGTGCACTGAGCCCAGATTACAGTTCTAGGATACACGTAAAATGGAATACCAGAGAGACCCCAAAAGAGCTACAGATTCCTGGTTTACATTATCACAAATCTCAGGCCAAGTGATATTCTGCAATTATCCCAGAGGTCAGGCTTTCACTCTGTTAAACTGTGATTTTGTTCTAACCAGAAATTATATTTAAATCAAACAAAGACATACAGCTTACATATCTCAGAGTGAATTCATTAAAGTGGAGGTGCTGTCATTTGGACAAGTTGTTATATTGAAGTCTCACCTGTCTGTTCAGTTGGATGTTCATGGGTACTATTCAAGAAGAGAAGGGAATGTTAAGAAATTGACTGACCCTGGTGGTGTGAGTTTCAGATGGGGTTGGTGTCTGTGGCTATCAGGTGAAGAAAGGATCAGGTTCAGCTGTGACACTCCCCACTGATGAGACAAGTTGGAGCAAAATCCTGAAGAGTGCTAATTTGAAGCACTTTTGGACTGTGTTCTCTTGTTTGTATCTGTGAAACCCTCGTAAAAGAAGGGGGCAGGGAGAGGAGTCTAAAATGCCTTCTAGGGACTGAAATAGACGAGAAAAAAACATATTCTGAAAGGTCAGTCAAAAATGTCTGAGATACTAATTTTATAGTCGTAGTCTAAGAAACAGTCGGAGAAGTGTCTAGCCAGTTTGATCTGTGTATTACACATAGTCAGTTTATCTTAATCAAAAGACAAGTTTTTCCATGCTCATTTAATAATATAAATCAATCCTCGAGAAACTGATCTCAAGGTTAGTGTACAAGTCTCTGCTTGCAAGGTGTGGCTTAAATGGTAAATCAGAACGGTCTTGCAACACATACTCGGGAGTTTGCTATCTCAGTTGATCACAAAGCACACAAATGAGGACCCAGTAGAAATGCGATTTAAATTAGTACTCATTTCAGAATTTTGCTCTATCTGCATGTGCAAAAGTAACCTCATGCCATAACAATCTCCCAGCTAAATTGATCATTCACTTTGACATTGTGACACTTTGCTGTGTGCATGAACATGAATGCCATGTTGACTTAAATAGAGTCACTGCACTTAACAACAAAAGTGCCTTTGATGTTATAGGCATTATATCAAGTGATTATTATTACAGTAATGGAAGAGAGCTCTCCTGGGGTTGAGGACAGAGTGCCTTGTTTGCAGTGTACACTAGACAGAGCTATCTGCCTTCTTCCACACTAAAGGGAAGAACCCATCTCCCAGACCTGATGGGTAAAAAGCATCATCATATAGAAGAAACAAGCATTGCGCTATCCCGTATTTTTATGCATTAGGTAGTTTGGGAAGTTTATCCATAAAAGTTGTAAAAAGTATTGCTATAGATTACCATTACCATGCAAACACTTACTTCTGAATCGCCCCTGAGCAGGTAAACTCTCCCTGTTGTTGCTGACTGCAAAGAGTTGCACAATATATTCGTGGTTTGGAATAAGACCTTCAATTACTGCTGCATTTTCACTCTTTTGTAGGGTAATTTTCTGCGCTTTACCACCTGATATTGAAAGAGAACAGAATCTGTAACACAAAAATTACACTGCACCAATATACAAAAAACATGGTTCTCAAAGGTTTCAGGATTGCACTTCCATTGATCGTTTTTACGTGGAAACTCTGCAACATGTTGGGAGATCTAATTCAAGTTGTTTCTGCAAGAGCCACAGAAATTTATAGCACAAAAGAGCACCATTCGGCCCATCATGACTATGTTGGCTCTCATAAGAGCAATTTTTTCAGTCTTATTTACCTACCCTTTCCCCATAACCATGTAGCTTACTCCTTTAAGGTATTTACCTAGTTTCCTTTTGAAAGCTAACATGGATTCTGCCCCAACCACTGCTCCCAGTAGGGCATTCTATTACCTAACCACTCTGCGTATAAAAAAAAATCTAAGTTCTCCATTTGCTCGTTTGCTAAGTATCTTATAGTTACTGATAGCCCTCAAGTTACTGACTGACCAACAAGTAGAAATAATTCCTCCTTATTGACTCGATTAAAACCCCTTGTAGTTTTGAAGTTGAAGTTACGTGAACTCAGTCTCCTAAAGGGTTACAGCTGCTCTGAAACCAGGGCATATGTATACCAGGCAATGCACGTTATCTATGCAAAGCGAGCACTTGCATGTTCGACCGAGCAAAAGATCTTTCAAATCTATTTACTGGTGTAATACCTTGAAAATAGCGTCTGGAGCTAGAAAATGTACCTCAGATCAAACACTCGGCGAAATTAACTTCAGAATTTCCATGATGCACTTTGATTCAGAACAGATGTGAACTGGAGGGCATCTGAGTTACAACTGTGATGTGAGCAGCAACAGAGGCACAAGAAATGTTCATAGAACATTTGTAATCTTCTTTAATCTTGTTTCGTCTCTTTTCTTAGCTTTATTCTGCCTCCTTTCTTCTATATATAATCCTTGCATTTCATATAGCGCCTTATCACGTCTTTGAGACACTATATATTTTGTGGGGGGAAAATCCCTTCTGTTCTCTAAATCAAACTGCTTTTGGGCACTCTTGGCCACCTGAGCGGTCAAACAATCTGTTCCTGTATTTCAGTCAATGTGAATGCATCGCTGCCTGCTCAGAGGCTTGTGAAAGAGGTGTCCAATGAGGAAACACTTGCCCTAGGCTCACTACCTGCCTCTCAACACTGAACAAGATCAGAGATTCATCGCGTAGTGAATCATGCTGACCAACTGAACGTCAGCAAGACCGAGGCCCACCTGATTGGCTCGCGCCAGCGCCTCCGCACCTCGGGCACTGGCAGCATCAGCCTCCACGGCTGCACACTCAACCTCATTTAGCCAGACAGGAACCTGGGTATCTTGTTTGGCCCTGAACGGTCCTTTCTCCCCCACATCCCTGCCATGACCGGCACTGCCTACCACCACCTCCGCAATATTGCCAGACACCGCCACTCCCTCACCCCTCAGGCTGCCGAAACCCTCACCCACATATTCATCACATAAAGGCTCGATTACGGGAACTCCCTCCTCATCGGCCTTCCCAACTCTTCCCTTCACAAGCTGCAGATCATCCAAAACTCTGCAGCTTGTGTACTCTCACGCACCAGGCTCCGTGACCCCATCACTCCCACCCTCGCCCGACTCCACTGGCTCCCCATCCCCCAGAGGATCGAGTTCAAGATCCTTATCCTCACTTTCAAGGCCATCCATGGCCTTGTCCCCTCCTACCTCTCTGACCTGCTGACTCCCTAACAACCTGCCCACTCCTTCCATTCAGCGAGCTCCAGTCTGCTCTATGTCTCCCGCCCGACCCGCCCTACCATCGGTGGCCGGGCTTTCAGCCTCTCTTCCCCCACACTCTGGAACTCCATCCCACAGTCCCTTTGCCTCACTTCCTCCCTTGCCTCCTTCAAGGCCAGTCTCAAGACCCTCCTTTTCGATCGTGCCTTCGGTCGCCCTCCCACCTCTCTGCCTTCCCTCACCCCTACATCACCCCTCTCCCATGCTCGGATCCTGACTTCTGACTGTCCAGCGCCTTGGGACGTCCTCCCGACATGAAAGGCGCCCTATAAATGTAATTTTGTTGTTGTTGTTGTAGTGAGTTATGGCTATAAATAGACACAGTGATGCTCCATGCTACAATAAAGGATCCTGGACTCACTGAAGAACTATGCAAAAAACTAATGAATAACTTTCATATTCCTTAAATAACACTGGAGTTTAGCAAAGATTTGCATAGATTTACAAACAATGTACAACGTGGAAAAAGACCAACCAGCCTTTGTCAGTGTTTATATTCCACATCATTCCTTACTCCCTTCATTACCCTCCCAAGTAATCATAATTCCAAACATGCTATATTACAAATTTCTAAAGTTAAGGAGCAGGTTAGACCCCGATATGTGCAAATGTGGAAATGCAAAGGTATAAAATCTAAAGGTGGGGAGAGCAAAGTGAAACAGACACTATTGTCAATCACCAAATGTAAATGGACTTTATCTTTCAGGTTCATGGTGATGATGGTGTAGTCTAAGTAACCCAGCAATGTCCCCAACTTGCTTGGAAGGAGAATTTCATGCTTTAACGTCATTCCTCTTCCATATTAAAGCTGTCGCAGAGAACTGGTGTATTGCTTGCTAACTTACAGTTCAAGTGGTTTATTTCTTCTTCGCAGCTACTGCACATTGAAAAAAAAGTTGTAATTAACAGTCGCTTGCAGTAACAATCAGACATTGCACTATTATACCTCCTGGGCATTCAGCTTTTGACACAGGACTAGATTTTCAAGGATACAATTGATATGTTGCAGATTAGTGAAAGGCCATATGTCTTAACTGTGCATATTAATGCCTATGATGAACGGTGCTGGTCAACGAAATGGCCATAAATATACACCCAGTGAAATGTTTGCCTTAAGGCAGTGGGGTCCACTCAATCACTGAGCCGCACCTGCACATATTTTGTGAAGCCACGTTGCTAACTGACAGTTAAAGAGCTTTACGTCTTTCCAGCAAAGTTGCAGATAATATCAGCCACACTGCAGTGGTAAACAAACATTGCACTCTTACCGCAGTGGATCAAATGCTCTCCACATACTCTGTGAAGCCCTGACGAGACTTGTCATTGAGCTGATCGTGTCAATCAATCCAATATTGTCTGCTGGTGACGAGCCCATATTTTAACACTAAGGCCTGTGTAATTGTTGCACCTTACTTTATGTTCTGAGATTGACCAAAGAATGTGCTTATTAATAGCTATTTCTTACTATAAAAACTCAATCCACCTGAACAACAGTGCTTATGTTTTGCAATTTGTTATCCTACTCACAGTTATTTTGGGTCTGAGACAAGAGGGACAAGCCAAGTAAACCAGCCCTGTAATTAATAATAATAATAATCCTTGCATTTGATATAGTGCCTCATCCCATCTTTGAGCCATCCCAAAAGTGCTTCACAGGATATACTGTAAGGTGGATTGATTGTATATTTTTGTGGGCGAAACAAGGCAGCCAATTGCACACAGCCCTGTCCCACAACAGTCGTGGATTGAGTAACCAAATCATTATTTAAAAAATTGTTTTTTTTAAAAAAAGAAATTATTAACCCCGGAAAAGCGATCCACCAATCAACTAACAACCTGGTTCCTACTTACTGCTGGGTAAACACACAGGTGGATAAGGGAACTTACCTTATCACAGGCATCCAAACTAATGGGCTTTTGATCTGATGAAAGAAAGGCTGCAACTTTCTGTCCTTACTGAGATATTGGGCTTAATTCACTGGCACATTTGATATCACATTGAATGTACCCAAATGCACATGTGGCTGCCTCTCAGCTTCCTCCAGCACTCCCACTCCCCCGATGCAGTTCTCAATGGCCAAACCTGTGAAGTCGCCATTGGCTGCTGGTTATTGGGATACTAACTTTTTAGTAAACAAAATAAAGATACTAATATCCTGCTAATTGGCAGCCACGGAACAGCAGTCCAATCTGTGAGCCAGTCCAGTGTTCAATGGCCTGGCTCGTAGGAAGTTACCATTGAGAATGACCCCACAAATTACAATGTCATGCACAATTGGATACATTTAATAGGATAGATATTGAATGTTTAATTTAAATAGGACTTCAGTTTAATGTCTCATCTGAAAGACTGCACCTCCACAATGCAGCACTCCCCCTGCTCTCTCCAGGGGTGACAGTCTAGACTCTGATTTCAAAATACTGACTTGGGGCTTGAACTCACAGCCTTCTGGCTCGAAGGCGAGAGTTAATAATAATAATAATCCTTGCATTTGATATAGCGCTTTTCACGTCGGGAGGACGTCCCAAAGCGCTTCACAGAATACACTGTAAAGTGAATTGACTGTATATTTGTGGGCGAATGCGGCAGCCAATTGCGCACAGCAATGTCCCACAAACAGTCGTAGATTGAAAATGACCAATTTATTATTGCTTTTGGAGGGATTATTATTAGGCGTGTGGAGTAAGGAAACTTGCCCAAGGTTTCGCCCTGCCGGGAATTGAACTCAGGTCTCTCACTTGCAAAGCGAGTGCTCTAACCACTGAGCTACAGGACTCCACGGATTGCACTTAATCTTAATTAAGTGCAATCTGTTTAGTCAAGAGTACACTTTCCAAACTGTAACATTAAAATATCATGGTTACAGGACAAAAATGTTAAAAAGATGAGCAAACTTTGACTAGAAAAGGTTATTGCATAGCAAGTTGCAAAAGTGATCCAGTTTGATTTCTTGCATTACATCAAAACAGATATTTAAATTTTAAAGATCAAAATTCAAATCAAATTCAGTCTTTCAATGAAAGACGGGCCAATCTCCATCAGGGAGCTACCACAGGTGGTACATGCATTCCATGAACATCAGATCTGACAACTCCATTTTTTTAGGTTTGTGCTCGTTGAATAATTTGAAGCATACCAATCACTAGGAGATTCTGTGCACTGAACTGAAAAAGTGTTTAGTGTGGGTCACTTCACAAAAGAGGGCAGAATAAAGAGTGAAGCAAAAGAATCTCTCCCAGTCCATTGACAGGCTAAACTCTCATTCCAATGCCTGAAGCTAGCGCAATGACAGAGGTTAGACTCGGATTCCAAGGCCTGAATTCAAATACCACCTTTGATTTACATCAGAGGATTACTGGGTTCTCACCCACCATTAGATAAATTTATATTCATGGAGTGCAATTGTTTAAATAAGACAGACTTGAGTTCAAGTTTTCTTCTGCTCAGTTTCCAATCCAATCTGAGACAAGTTGAGTAGAGAGGGTTTGAAAAAAAACAGCGTCTCCTAACTGTGTGTGTGTGTGTATATATGAGAGAGTATGTGTGAGAGTGATTGTGTGTGAGTGAGTATGTGTGAGAGCGAGTGAATATGCGTGACAGTGTGTGCGAGTGAGTGAGTGTGTGAGAGAGAGCGAGTGTGTATGTCAGGGTTGGTGGAGGGACGGGAGAGAAATTGGAATTGAGTTACAAAGTACAAAAAGTATGTGGCATAATAACTTTATGTACTAGACTATTCAGGAGGATTCCTGCAAGTTGCCTTGAAGTGATTTGGCCCGAGGCCATATTGTTGCATTTCACTGCCCATTTATGGCCTAATTAAGTAGGAATTAATAAGATATCACTTCATTGAACTATATTACCTGGAGCAAAACTGACCATTCCCATTTCAATTATCTGCTGCCACCTTTCCCAATTAGTGAAACAATCTGATGTGAAAGTCAATGAGTTTGTTCCAATGAGTTACTATTAACCCAGAAATAATATCCCCAAGGGTCATGCCTATCTTAGATTAAACAATTGTGTGGTATTGAAATAAATAATCAATGAGAGATTGGACGGTTATGGAAAGTAATCCTACTGGATGATATCAGGAAGAACTCAAGCCACTCTCCTTTCATGCTTGTGGATCAGGTTTTATCTTCATCGATGAGCTAGGCATTTTCTGCATCTCACATCCCTGCTGGTTGTATATTTATTTAATTGTATTTGTACTACAACAGGGGAATCAATAAGGAGAATCATGTCTGGCCATCTTTGGCACTTTTGGTATTTACAAAAGATGAAAAGCTACACTGGGGTCTTATGCGCAGTGATTTATTTGCAACTTATTTTTTTCTTAATAAGGAATTTGAATGGGGATCCCTTCCAGTACCATTAGTAAGTCACACATAGCATCCCAACTGGAACTCTTGTCCGAAGTAGATCAAGTTGGAGCAGAGTTCTCATGCATCAGTGTGACCCACCAGTATTCACTGTCCAGATGCTCAGATGAAGAACAGTGACAAGGGCAGGGTGGCCACAGTAATTGTACCACAGTCTGAGTCACTCCCAACCTTAGGTTCCCTTAAGGAATACCATTAGAAACTGGTGTTCATGAATCTCATCTATGCATATATTTGTGTAATGTTTCAGAGCAAAATACAATTATCATTAATAATGTAAAATGAATTTCAAATCGACCAGCATTATTCATTTAATATAAAAAATAAAGCATTTTTAAAACAATTCTTACCTTCTACTGGTGTCACCGTTAGTCTGTATCCCTGAAATCTCCCCTTAGGGGACTTCCATGCAATCCTAACACTGTCCTGAGACACTACAGTAAACCTTAATCTTGTTGGAGATGGAACTACAAGATGCACAAAAGAAAAGAAAACAAATTTAGGTCAGTATTTGAAACAGAATTAGTAATTTGACTGCAATGCAAAGAGCTAAACATGATTTGTACTCAGTAAACAAATTAAAGGCATTCAGTCATTAATATGAACACAGATGACACAACAATCTACAAACTAGTACTACAATATCTAGCAGGGCTCTAAACTATTTTCTGAACTGGCTGCTCAGGGTTCTGATGTTAATAAAATCAAATTCTACTTTCTACAGAACTGCATTTTTTTTGTAAAAGAAAAGCTCAGTTTAATTAGTTCCCAAATTTAAACAGCATTTAATAGCCATGTGTCATCAAGCCACTAACATTATAGTATAGAGCCCTGTTTTGAATACAATACAAATGGTTATATTAGTTTATACAAAAAAACAACTTTTCCAAGCATGTTACATTATATTCTACACTGTTGTATGCAGTTAGAGACAAAGACAAAAGGAGGTTTAGGTTTTGAAGTAGTGTAATGCATAAAATAGTATGCATTTCCTTCCCACAATCTATATCAATTAATTGATATATCGCTCCTGAGATAAAGTGCTGTTTTTCCCAAAAAGAGAAAGAGTTCTAGCCTCTATCTCTTCCTGCGTCATTTACAAGGGATTCTTCCTTGGTAAGGAAGCAAAAGTGAATGTAATCCATCACCAAAAACAGTTAATTAACTGGACCACCGCAGTAAGGTCAAGGGCCAGAACTAGGCAGATGGCTGAGAACCCAGGCAAGTCGTGAGTCGCACAGACCTATAAGCCCACCTTAAACTTTGGAGGACGGTTTAGCAAACGTGACATTTAACAGGTTTGATCTCTGCTAGTTTTGACCCATGATCTCACAAAAAAAAATGAACAAACCAACAAACACGAGATGCAATTCATCCAGCACAGCTAAGTGAGTCAGACATGAATTTCTTTTGTGCCAAAACACAACTATGCTCAGATAGTGATTTAATTGTATAGGTAGCCCAATTTGTATGAAAATATACATTTTTTTATGATATTATTGATCAACAAGATCATATTTCTAGCCAGGTGTTAAAACTGTCAAGTTGATTAAAAGGTTTTGGCTGTAGTCCTCCACGTCAAGGAGATAGGAATCTAAGGGTTTTGCTGTGAATTTCATTATGTTCTTTGGTGAGATGTCCTGTTCTGTCTGTAAAGGCCCTGCGGTGTGCACTGTGCTCAGGCCATTCCGGCCTACAGCTGCTGCAAACATACGAGGCTGCTCTTATGAAAAGGTTGACAGAATGATTTGAGCTCATTCTGTGGAGACAGGGAGCTAACCGAAAGCACTGACATGGAAATGACATTGGGTCATTCACAGTTGCTATCGGGCACTCACAGGCAAGTGTTCGAATGTGCTCATACCTGCTAAATGCTCAATTACCAACTCTTTCTGGCATTTCATTTATTGAAATCTTACTGATTGAAAGCTTTGGGTGTCTTTAAACTAATTTATGAACATTTTCATTTGAAACCATTTGTAATTCAACCAAAAAAAAGGCTTCATCTCTAATAAACTCCATCCTTTGGCTCAATGGGTAGATGCCCTCTATGGTGTGATACTAAAACCATACAAAACAAGAAGGTCCCAAATTTGATCCCTTCTGTACTAGTTGATTTAAAGTGGGGCAGGAATAGGCACTACAACTGTCCATCTCTTGGGAGAGTTATGAAAATCAGCCAGGGTTCTTGCTCCTGATCATGTGGACTAAAGGCAGAGCTGTTCTCCACTCTGAATCACTCAATTTAGAAGAGGAAGGATAGACAGAAAGTATCCAAAAGAAAAACTGGAGGCCATTAAAAAGAATCCACAAACACCATTGGAGAATTTTTGACCAGTTTGTGACCTACCAAAAATGGAATATGTCAACTAAATCAAAAAACCCTTGGCAAGAGACATACAGCTGTGTTGTAGACCGCAACACTCTCCTAGCACATTGAGGGAATGTGCAGTAATACAGCAATGTGGCCACAGCTTTGTATCAAGTTAAATTCAAGAAACCTAACATCTTTCCTAAGTTTATAAACTAAATCACTTCCAGACCACACATCTTGATTTATTTGGCCAACCATGAGATTAAATGGAATTTGTCGCAAGAACATTTCTAGTTTGGGATGCATAGAAGCATTTTGGCACAAACTTCGTGGTTTGTTGCTCAGAGTTGGGAGGGCAGTCAATGGCAACACTCAGACACAACAGGACAAATATGATAGTGTTACGAGTTCACCAACCTGATGATGGCACCTTTTTTCAGTAGCACTTTTTTATCCTTTGGAGCGAAATTCTTGTTCCCCCAAAAATAATGATTAGCCCAATTTGGGTTGGGACTTGGTAGTGTCAAAATCACCCAATAAAATTCACAACATAAAATAAATGGATATGCTGACAGTGTAGGCTTGCAGCACTGTCCAGCTGAGCAGCCTGCAGCAATATTAATACATTCAAACAGAAAAATGCTCCAAGACAGATAGTTTGACAGATAAATTACTATACTTTTTTTAATTATGTAGGAATGCAGCCCTACAGCACTGTAAAATGAGGCATCATTTTAACCTTGCATTAAAAAAAGTTTCTAGGTGGTTAACTCTTCAAAACCAAAAAGATATTTCTCCTCATTGAATATTTTACTGCTTGCATCCTTTGTAAACCCACATTGAGGGAGGGGGGATTCATTTGTAATAAATTCTAATTAGGTGTAGAAGTTAAGAAAAAATAAAAATACATGTATTTAATACAGTGCCTTAATACGTTGAAAGGGCTCAAAAGGTTTCACGCAATGTATTGCATTTAGGACTTTTATAAAGCTAAATACGGAGGTTAATCTGCTAATCTGTGTTTGCAATGTCTCACAAACTTCAATGAGATGAACTATTAACTTTAATTGGCTTCAGCGAATTTCAATTGAGGCAAGAATATGCCAAAAGTCTTCCAATGTTTTCCCCTAGCTTATACGTATTATGGACAAGAGTGGTTTTAGTTACAAATTGACAGTGTATTAGATATTCCTGAAGTCCACCCAGTTGGAACTGTTTGCTCTCAAGCTACAGATATTAATCACTGTGCATCAGCGACCACCTTAAAATCTCAAACAAATATGATTTATACATTACAAATCGTGCACAACTGAGAATGGATTTATTCAATTCCCATTGATGGCACAAACTATCAGTTGAGGATTCCCTTGGTTATTATGGGTAAAGCATAATTGTGCTATTTGCTTTAATCAAATTTAATGTCAATAGAAATACACTGAATGGTTTCTAAATCATTTTGAATTTTTGCAATTCAATCTCATTTTCAAACACTCTCTGGCTACAAGTCTCACAGTAGCTCAAGTGATGGAGTGCGTTGGCTCTCAACCAAGAAGGTTATGTGAGCTCAAGTCCCATTGCTGCCCGGTACTTGGCTCACTTCGATTCTTTTTTGCAATGTCTCAGGGAAGCTGCTAGGTGGAGTGTTATATAAAGTGAGCTTCTCAGGAGATCTTAAAGAACTTGAATAACCTATGCTTCACTAGTGTAACTGCACCTCCTGTTGGCTCATCTCAAAGAGGCCACTTTAAATACAAGCATATTTATTTGTATCCGAATGCAGGTGGAACATTGCACAGAGTGAATTTGTTGTACCAATGGTTATATCACAAAGGAATTTTAAATAGTCATCCAAGAATTTTATGTGTATTGATATATTATTAAAAACTACTGTAGAAAATTGGCTTCCAAATTAAGACTGAATCTAAGATTTTTCTAAAGTTCTGAACAATCTTAAATGTTAAGGCAACAAGATTCAGACCATGAGAAAACTTCAGACCAGAGATTGTTTCTGTCACAAAATATATTTGTTACAGTGCAATTAGTAAAGCCAGAAAATAACACATTGTCTTGCAAAATTCTCCAACTACGAAAAATTGGAATATCTATTTATTCCATTTATTTATGCTTGTGAACATGTAAAATACCTAATTTAGGAAAATGCTCAAATTACTCATAAGATGTTTATTATACATTATTATGTTTATTATACATTATTATTATAGATGTTTATTATATGTTATTATTTATTATATGTTATGAAATATGTTTATTATGCATTATTCCAACCAGATAGTTGTAGTGTTTGTTTTCTTTGACTACATACATTTCATCAGATCCTTCCTTCAAATAGTTAATGTTTAATCATCAGGTCTCCAAAACAGAAACTATGTAAATATAAATCACATAATCCAAATTAAACTTTGTGTTCCTCTTCGATCAAATGTGTGGCTAGTACGAAGGAAGGCTCCAACAAAGGAACAACAGTCTTATAAATGAAAAATCTATTACATGAAAAGCTTGAGTGAAAGTGACTTCTTGGAAAGGTCAAGAAGATAAATTACAATTAAGGGACCTCCTAATAAGCACGTTATGTGATTATAAGACAAACATGCAGCATTATGTGTAAGTTCTATTAACCAATTTCTTGAATAATGGATTACCGCTACTCTGAAGCATAGTGATGAATTTTTGTGTCAGACACTCAGCTGACTTCTAACAAATTAGTTGCAACACTTGTGTGAAACCGATGGTGGCAAAATACTATATAATTTACCATGAACATATTTTTGATTTGCTTTTTTACAGCACTAAAAGAGAATTGAAGAACTATTCTTGAATCTGAGCAGTTTCATGACTATTCATATGATCTGTTTTCATTGCTGGAAAAGAGCAGTGGTTTATTACAGTGGAGGAAAGCAAAGCAAGATGATTGTATGGTGAGCAGATTGAATACCAAACAAACTAGGATAATCACACAAATTGTAATTGATGATGTGGGTCATTAACTTCAGTAACTGGTGATGTTTTTCACATCACGCTGCTGGTAATAACAGATTCCATTTACTACATTTGTAGTAAGTCTACAATTGAAAACAGATCTACTGGATATTTTTGTAGCGTTTTAACTCCACAGATCAGCTGAAACATGTACTTGACATATTATGTTGTCATACAAGTGAAAAGAATACCCAATTTACCACCCCATGGTTGAAGCCAAGATGAGTCAATTTTCCTGACCTCAACCACCCTTCCTGATAAACCTATTCTAGGTGTGAATTCCCATACGTGTAACAATATACTTACTGTTATCTTTCTGTCTGTGCTGCAAAAAATGTGAGTGAAACTTCTGGGGATCTGAACCCAGCTGAATTGGTAATGTACTCTAGCATCCTGTTTGCCATGTTTATTGCTGCCTCGCACTGTTTTGACATGATGACTGATGAGTTAATTAGTACTTCTAGGTCTCTTTCAGCTTCCCTCTTCGCAAGTTCTATCCCATCCAGGGAGTACATGCTCCTATGACGACTATATGTAGTACCTTGCATTTATCTGTAGTAAATCTCATTTGCTAGTCATAAGCCCAAGTATATAGCTGGTAAAGCTTTCTTTGTACAATGCCTCCTCTGATTCCATAGTTCCCCCCAATTTGGTGCTGCTGAGCAGATTAAATACTCTTGCACTTAGTGTACAAATCCAGGTAATTAACATATACAAGAAACAGAAGGGGTCCCAGTACAGATCCCTGATGCATCCCACTCTATACCTTCCCTCCTTTTGACCGGGTTATTCTAAAAATATCCTCTAGTTATTAATTCTCATCCAATGTCTTACTCTTGATATCTGGTAACATGGGTTTGAAAGGAGTTACTTGTTTTGTAAGTTTCAAATGTCTTTTGAAAGACTAAGTACGCAAGGTCAAATTAGGACATTACTTTCCTATAAAAGTCTATGAGGTTGGTCAGACAAGATCTACCCCATCAGAAGCTATGCTGACTGTCATTTACCAGGTTATTTTCAAATACGTAATCTTCAATTTTCCTTCAAATGATTGATTCCATTAGTTTTCCAATTACTCCCGAAATATTTTCTGTTTAGTCAGTATGTTTTTATCTCCCTCCCTCAAAAAAGCTGTTAACATGCTGAAGCATAGTTTCAAAGATGCCAGCCACACTCCAGTTCATTGTCCAAGTAACTATTTATCCACGTCTGAGTCTAAACAGTCAGCAATAAAAAGCTATTCAACTATGAGGGTATCATAGTTCAGCCTGGTCCTGTCCTCACACAAGGTATCCATGCGCACACCCCCCCACCCACCCCCCACCACACCACCACCACACACACACCCCTTGAATTATAAGATAACTCAGCACACGCAACGGATTGAACCGGGACCTTCCTGATTTATATGGCTCAGTTTCATTATGGACGATGGCTTAACCAACTGAACTGTTAGGCAAACCACATTCCACACACACTATCATCTCTTGTTTTATGAGGCAAGGGTTTCACTTGTATTACTGATTTCTACTAATATAACGTAGACAGGTCAGGTCTGATTCTGAGGTGAATTGCTGAAAATACCTGCTTTGATGGTTAGATAAAAATACGATCTGTACTATGAGAATGTTTTAAAATTCTGTTTTCTGTTCCATATCATGGTTTGACAGTGAGACTGTCAAAGCAGACAAACTCATATCATTATGGAAAAGTGATCAAATATTTGACTTTGTAAAGCTCTACCCAGTTTCAGATGACTGAAAAAGGCATGCTTACACACATCCAATACGACTTAAGCACATTACAAGCACTACAGATTGCTTAACATGAAGTTGCAAAGGAGTTGTCCTCATCTGCACATCAGAGGGATTGCAAAGTGGTGTATTTTATCTCTTCAACAATTACCTTGACCTTGTGCCTCACTGATGAAATGAGCTGTCACTGCCAGAAAGGCCAGGAGGAGGCAGGTTTCTGCTCTGTGTCTGAAGATTTGCATGCTTATCTCCTGTCTATGGGGGCTTTACTCAACACTCCTGGGAAGACTCGACAAAGCAGCTGTAATTCAAAGAGACAGATTAGAACAAGCAGACAAAGCAAACAAGCCACAATGTTAACACGACTGGAACTTTTGCACCAAATGTAAAATTAAATTATATTTCAACAACGATGCTAATTAAAAACTGAAATGCTAACTACAGAAATGTTCTATTTCTCTGATATATTTCTAATTCAATATTTTAATATCCAATTAAATTCTTTGGGGGTTTATTGTACGCTGACACTGGAGTCTGCTCAATCCACGACTGTTTGTTTGACACTGCTGTGCCCAATTGGCTCCTGCATTTCAGCCACAAAATACAGTCGATCTAATTTACAGTATATTCTGTGAAGCGCTTTGGGATGGCTCAATGATGTGATAAAGCGTTATTTCAAATGCAAGCATTATTATTGTTGTATTATAAATACAGAATGTTTTATTGTGCATTAAAACAGTATTAGGATACAATGGCAGCAAAATGACCACCAGTGTTAAATTACAGTGTGTTTGTTTTCTGTTATCAAATCTTATCCTTTCCTACGACTAGGGAAAGATCTTCCCAATCCCAAACTTAATAAAGACTCCAGAACATTGATGTGGTTTTTAATCCACATCCACCTTATTCAAATCTGACACGTTGCACTCCTCTGATGGCTTCCAGCAATGTGGGATTCAACAGTGTGTTCTCACAAGATCCCAAGAGAGATTTGGAAGAAGAAAATCTTTTGGCTTATTTCATCTCATCCTCGACAGATCTGGAGAGCATTAGATCATCTGTATTTAATCTGACCTATATATTCAACAATCAGGCTTGTTCTGAAAGAATTATTCTTTGTGTTTTTTTGAAGGAGTTCATTAACACAGCAATAGCGAATATTCACTGTTATGTATGGGTGTGTGTGGGGTGGGGGCAAGGAATTCCCCTCAACTATTGTTCTGCCAACTTTGTAGACAAGTTCTCCAGTGAAATGATATCCTCACAGACTAACTTCAATAAACTGCTCACATTCTGCCAATTTAATTCCGTCAAAATGAACAAAACGCGAAATACTGCAGATGCTGGAAATCCGAAACAAAAACAAAAAGTCGCTGGGAACGCTCAGGAGGTCAGGCAGCATCTATGGAAAAAGGAAAGTGAGTCAAGGGGTCCCGGACCCTTGGGGACCCGAAACGTTGACTCACTTTCCTTTCTCCATAGATGCTGCCTGACCTGCTGAGAGTTCCCAGCGCCTTTTTGTTCTTGTTTCTGTCAAAATGAATTCCGCTTCAAAATCATAGGCGATTTTACGGTAGCCATTTGCGAAACGATCGGTGGTGGCAGGTCACAATGTAAAGGGGATATCTTGCCGAAATAAAAAAAAGGAAGAAACTCAAAATCATGCTGTCAGCGCTGAAGTCTGGTGTTCATTTCAGAGGTGGTGATTCTGGAAATTCTCCCAAGATCAGTGAGGTTAGGAGCTCCCTCCTCCATCTCCCAGTGACATGGACACACAGCCTGTGGTACCCACCATCGCCTTGGTCAGACAACCTGAAGCCTCATCACCTGCTTTAAGGTTCACTTCATTAACCATGAAAGTACCCCCTGGGTGAGGGGGTGGTGCCCACATCCTTCTTCTCTCCTAAACCAGTTAGATACTACCCCCCACCCGCTCCCCCCAGTCCTACCTGCCTTGGTATCTGCACAATCGGACTCCCCCCCCCCCCCCCACCCAAAACAACTGACTTTAAAGAGAAATTGCATTTGTTCTTCTTAACACCCGAACAGCAATACTGCAAACGGGACCCCGACAGCCCCGGGCGAGCTCTCTCTTCGCTTTGATCCCTCTCGGGCTCCAGGGGATCAGGACCAGGCGGTTCGGCTCTGGTGTGAGAAGCACATCAACAGCGAAGAGGAGCCTTGAAAGCGACTGCAAACAGCCCGACCCGACCCGGCCCGACCCGACCCAACCCGACCCGGCCCGACCCGGCCCGCCTGCAAGTCCGGGGACAAACTTCCCCCATAACTAGCCCGGTTTCCCTGAGAGTTTGCTGCAGGGATCCAGAGAGACAGTCAGTCAGCACATCCCTGGGGTTCAGGTTGGAGCAGTAATAGTTTCCTGTGGCTGTGACCCCCCCCCAAAACCACCCACCCCCCACCCCCCCAAACCCCCCAACCCCCCCAAACCCCCCCCAACCCCCCCAACCCCCCCCCCCAAACCCCCCACAACCCCCCACACACCCCCCAAACCCCCCAACCCCCCACACCCCCCACACACCCCCACACCCAAACCCCCCACACACCCCCACACCCCCCACACCCCCACACACCCCCCACCCAAAACCACAGCCAACCCGCTGTCACAGGGCTCAGCAAACACTCAGTGCCTCCACACAGTTTGCTCTCTCCCCTCTCCCTCTCTCCCCCTCTCCCCTCCCACAGAGAGGCTTCACGTCCACCTTTTGAAACCGAGTCCCACAGCCACACGATGCGATGCTCGCGGCCGTCTCGCAAACGTGGGAATTTATTATAACTATTATCGAGAGAACCGAGTCAACTGCAGTGCACTCGAGCGCGCGATGGATCACATCTGTGCAACAGAACGTTCAATGGATTTTCGGACTATTCTGCGGACGATTCGCTTTTTTTTTCTTCTTCTTCTTCTTCTTCTTCGTCTTCTTCGTCTCCAACATTCCCGTTCACCCTCGGAAAGCAATCTCTGTTCAAAAGGAAAAAAAAGTGCAGGAAAAGCAACGTGTCTTACCTTCGGAAAACTGGAACCATGTGCATCAGAGTGTGGGTTTCTGTTACCTCCTCCTTTGCACTCTCTCTCTCTCTCCCTCTCCCTCTCTCTGACCAGAGCCTTCGGGTTCCCAGAGCTTCTCTTCTCCTCTCAGCTCTGCACCTCTCGTCTCGACTTCTAGAGAAGAAAGTCACCTCCACACACACTCTCTCACTCACACACACACACACACAGAGCCAATGGCAGGACTCAGCAACACACCCCAACACCTGATTGACAACTTAAAGAGGTTGGCCCACAGAGCACCATCTGCCTGATGTTGTTAAATCAACACAAGATACCACACGGGTCAGCCTGAGGGAATGCTGACTTCAGTCTTGTTTCGGGTTAACCCCGAAAGCCCAAGCCCTGACGGGTGGGTGATTCCAGCTGAACAGGCAGCGAGGAAGCCTTCCCGGGTTTGTGACGGCGAGCCGCACGTTTTCGGCGGGTTAACCTTCAGCAGCGCCCCCGGCGCACGCTCTGGGCTCCCCAAGCTAACCCAGATCTACACTCTCCAGGATTAATAATAATGATAATAGTAATAATAATAATCCTTGCATTTGATATAGCGCTTTTCACGTCGGGAGGACGTCCCAAAGCGCTTCACGGAATATACAGTAAAGTGAATTGACTGTATATTTGTGGGCGAACGCGGCAGCCAATTGCGCACAGCAATGTCCCACAAACAGTCATGGATTGAAAATGACCAATTTTTTATTATCGTTTTGTTTTTTTGGAGGGATTATTATTATTAGGCGTGTGGAGTAAGGAAACTTGCCCAAGGTTTCGCCCTGCCTGGAATTGAACCCTGGTTTCTTGCTTGCAAAGCGAGTGCTCTAACCACTCGCTCTAACCACCGCTTTTGGAGTGCTCTAACCACTCAAAAATTAGTGCAATCTCTGTGTTCCCCGAGGATGGAGAAGGTGCACTCTATACCAATGGAAGCCATGCACATGTGGAACGGGTGGTATTTTGGAATGAAGACTCTTAAGCACAGTGTTGGGGTTTCTCGTCTTCGAGGCACCCGGTTGACCAAAATTTAAACAATCCGTGCAGCTGCCCAACAGTTTGTAATTATACAGCATCCAATGAGGGTAACATCTCAGAGTGCTTCACAGAGACAGGGCTGGACAGAGCTTCACTCCTTCTGCCGCTACTCCCTTCACGAACCCCTCTTAATCGGGTTTCCGTGCCTCCCACAGCACAGAAACAGCACTGGTCAAAGTGACAAAATGACATTCTGTCCATCTGCGACCAGGGCTCCCTCTGCCTCCTTGAACTCTCTGCTGCCTTTGATACCATTGACTACTCTATCCTCCTCCACCGCCTCTCCTCTCGTCTCAACCTTCACAGCTCTGTCCTTGACTGGTTCTCACACCGCCTCCATTTCATCTCCACAAATGGCTTCTCCTCTAGCCCCCACACCATCTTGTGCGGCATTCCTCAGGGCTCTGTCCTTGGTCCCCTCCTCTTCAATATCTATATGCTCCCTCTTGGTGACATCATCCACAGACATGGGGTCAACTTCCACATGTATGCAGATGACATACAACTGTACCTCTCTGCGTCCACCCTTGACTCCAGGAATGCTGCTGTCCTGACAGAATGTCAGACATTAAGTCCTGGATGAGAGCTAACTTTCTACAGTTGAACGTCAACAAGACCGAGGCTCTCCTGATTGGCTCCCGTCAGCGCCTCCTCACCTCAGGCGCTGACAGCATCACCATCCATGGTTGCACACTCCATCTCACTGAGCCAGTCTGGAACCTTGGGATCTTGTTTGACCCTCAAATATCCCTTCTACCCCATAGCTGCACCATGACCCGCTCTGCCTTCCCCCACTTCTGCAACATCGCCCGGCTCTGCCACCCTCGCCCCAGATAGGGGGCTGCAGTGGCACACAAAATCAGGCAACACTAAAATATTCCAGACCCAAATTAGCCTGAAATAAAATTTCAGAAACACTGCCTGCGCATCACCTTGACTGAGACTAGCTAATTCAGCACAGACTGGAGAATCTAAATTGGAAGTTTCCTGTACCCCTTCCACACAGGAAAATCACTTCACTAACTCACTCAATGCCACTGTGTGGTGTCTTATTATAAGAATAAGAATAATAATAATCCTTGCATTTAATTTAGCGCTTTTCACAACTTCCAGACATCTCAAAGCGCTTCACAGAATATACTGTAAAGTGAATTGACTGTATATTTGTGGGCGAAACGTGGCAGCCAATTGCGCACAACAGTGTCCCACAAACAGTCGTGGATTGAAAATGACCAATTTATTATTGTTTTAATTTGGAGGGATTATTATTATGTGTGTGGAGTAAGGAAACTTGCCCAAGGTTTTGCCCTGCCTGGAATTGAGCCCAGGTGTCTCACTTGCAAGGCGAGTACTCTAACCACTTATACAATTTGTGTATCATTTGGGATTTTATGTTAAAAATATTAAAATATTGAAAAAAACAAAGGAATTGATGATTGAAGGAAGTTACTTAATTTGGGTATACAGTAATAATCTTTGCATTTGTTATAGCTCTTTTCATGTCAGGAGGATTGTCTCAAAGTGCTTCACAAGATATACTGTGAAGTGGTGTGACTCTGTATTTTGTGGTCAAACACAGTAGCCAAAAAACACACAGCAAGTCCCACCAACAGCAATAAAGTGAATGACCAATTTTAATTGCGGATTGTTGGTCAGGACACTGGGAGGAATTCTTCTGTTTTCAATAGTCTCATGGGATCTTTAAAATCCACGTGAACAGGCCTCAGTTTAATGTATCAATGCAGTACATCTACACTGCATTGAAGTAGGAGCATAAACTATTATGAATTCTAAATCCTGACATGGAACTTTAACCCAGAAACTTCTGACTCAGAGGCAACAGTGCTTCCAACTGAGCCAGGCTGTCAAATACTGTATAACTGGGAACCCTGCCCTAAGATTTGGTTTGCCTTCCCTGCCACATAGTTTATTGATGCAGGGTGCATTGTCCCTAGCTTATTTACAGTATTCAATATAAATTGCATATAAATATCATTAAATTATTGGAAGTATGAGATCCATGTCATCCCAGACTCAGAATTGTGCAGGACCTTGCAAATGTCACATCTCGTTGATTACATTTTTAAAACAAAGTCAAATATTTAAGATTACCGCAACAGTTATGTAAGCAAATATTAGTGTTTTTTCTGGTAAACTTTCTGTACAATAAATGCAGGGGTGCCATAATTATAATCCTTGCATTTTCACGTCTGCTCTTCACGTCTGCTAGATGTCTCAAAGCACTTCACAGAACATACTGTAAAGTAAATTGACTGTATATTGTGGGCGAAATGCGGCAGCCAATTGTGCACAGCAGTGTCCCACAAACAGTTGTGGATTGAGTGACCAAATTATTATTTTATTTATTTATTTTCTTGAGGCATTATTATCAGACATGTGGAGTAAGGAAACTTGCCCAAGGTTTCGCCCTGCCGGAATCGAACCCAGGTCTCTCCTTGCGAGGCAAGTGCTCTAACCACTGAGCTACAGGACTCCACAGTTGTCATGGTGCAACTGCTCTAAAAATGCACCAATCTCTTGTACTCTATCTTATTACTTTTACGGAAAAGGAACATAAGCAAAAATTAATCCAAGTTAATGTAAGAAGGTCAATGTAAGAACATTTGAAACTTGCATGCAAGCACATGTGAAATGGAATGACCTTTAAAATTGGTCTCTAATTATTTCCAGGCCATGCTGAACTATTCCAACCTGAAATTGGCCTGAAATAAAATGTCTCACTCTCTCTAACAGTCCTCCAAGCCACCAAATTATTCTCTGGTCATTCCATTTCACAATCCTTTGATGGGATGGTTTGGATTCTTTTGAAATCTGGGTCCAATGATTTGCTAATTGCTATTTTTATGGTCAGCTAAATGTCTGACACATGCAGAAATCATCACCATGCTTAAGAGTATCCAAACCAGACTGAGAGTTCCGTGCATCCCACCGACACATGGGAATTCCAGTGTCTGAAATGTAAATGCACTCTCTCCCCAGAGGGATGGCTTTGATTATTAATACTTGTGGTGAGCATATGATAAAAGACTATCGGCTACAGCAACTAACATTGTATCATTTAACAACTATAAATGAGAAAGCTGATTAAAATATCTGGATCGGAATGGGACTGATGGGCATGCAACACAATGATTGAATGCCGAATCAAGTAGGATGATTCCTCAACTGCTGAGACCAGGTAAAAGGTCTAATGGTTAGTCAGGGAGGTTAGTTTAACTCAGAGGACATAGAAACACAGAACTTTTCAGCACAGGTGACCATTCTGCTTATCATGTCAATCCCAATGCTTCACCTGTGTTTTTTGATTGCCCTTTCTATTCATCCCACTTCTCAGCTCTTTCACCAAATCCCTTAATGGTTTTACTTCTCAGGTGCTGATCTCAGGCTCTACAATTGGCCTCAATACGCTTAGCAACCTGCAACACTCACTGTTAAAGTTCATAGGTGAACAGTGCACATTTGTGCAACAAACCAGAGGGCAACGAGAAACAGTGAAATCATTTGTTTGCAAGCACATGTCATGATGATTATGTCATAACAACACAACAAAATTACATTTATAGAGTCATAAGAATGTAATCTCAGTTTACACAAACAGTATAACATCACTGTTTTAAATTGTATGCCATAACAGAAGAGTTCAGACCTCCAGGAGTCATGTTCAAACTGCAGAATGCTCTGGTTAGATCGAACCTGGAGCACTGCGTACTCCCACCTTAAATAGAGGGATGAGCTAAGAAGAATGATTGGATAAACCTGGACTTAAGCATGGAAAAGAGCCATCTCAGAATAATAATAATAATAATAATAATAATCCTTGCATTTGATATAGCGCTTTTCACGTCAGGAGGACGTCCCAAAGCGCTTCACAGAACACACTGTAAAGTGAATTGACTGTATATTTGTGGGCGAACGCGGCAGCCAATTGCGCACAGCAATGTCCCACAAACAGTCATGGGTTGAAAATGACCAATTTATTATTGTTTTTGGTTTTGGAGGGATTATTATTAGGCGTGTGGAGTAAGGAAACTTGCCCAAGGTTTCGCCCTGCCTGGAATTGAACTCAGGTCTCTCGCTTGCAAAGCGAGTGCTCAACCACTGAGCTACAGGACTCCACTTATA